GAATAGAAATAGTTCTTTGGTCGCATGGTCTCTTTTCTTTAAGCGGACTTAAGTACACAATTACAAATAATATTGTACACTTCATAACAATATTTTATTACATGTTCGTATATAGTGATATCGTCATTTGTACGTCCGTGCATGCAAAAATCTATTCGTTTCTTGAGGCTTACATTTGAGAAGTGGTCTTTGTTGTCTTGATAGAGTTATTAGCTGAGGACATTTGGATGCTGTGTTATGGACAATGCGACACGTGGTTCGCTGGGGATTAAGAAGTTCCTCGGAGCTGAAATGAGATACGTCTTATATAGAGAAAGAGAGCGAGAAAGAGAAAGAGAGAGAGAGTTTTCTTTTATACAATGTTTAGTGACGACATCTAGCGGTCGTTAGTAATTAGGTTTAATCGAGAATCAACCAAAATAGCGGCTACAATTAAAGATTTGCAAAGAAATAAGATTTGGAAAAAAGAAGTTAACTTTATCGCATTTTAAAAGAATATCTTGAAGTCATCCCAAAGGGAAGCACAAGAGATTTAGATATCTTATTAAAAAAAAAAAATAACACAAAGGAAAAATAATTCGCAAAACAACAAAATCTAATCATCACTTCTTGAAGATTCTAAACATTTTGACCTGAGTAAGCGCAAAAACGAAACGAAAACTTTATTTTAGAGGTCAAATTATTCTGAATTCAGTTTAAAGTGATCGTGTCTTAAAACCTCGTAACCATTATAGTTGGAGTAATGGATAGCGGCTCGGATTGAGGTATCGGAGAGCCGAGTTCGAATTCCATTGAAATCCATTACATTCACTTAAGTGTTAATACACTTGGGAATGGTATGGATCCTCTTCTTCTCTCCCCGCCTGTGGGTAAATAGCAGGATAGACCGGGTTATATAGCCTTCGATGGCAAATGGACTACCGTAGAAAGAAAAAAAACTGCCTCATCAGTCATATATCAAAAGATACATGATCGCCTCAGCGTGTATCGCACATAACTGACCGACTGAACCATTATAGGGGCACCACAATTAATTCATCAGTAATATAAAGGATGTCCTCCTTCAGTGAGTTAGTTTGCCTTACTAAATCTGCAGAATAAAAATCCGTTTTATAAGGGACTCGCGGTTAATTTGCAGTTTTTTTTATATGCTAGAATTATAATTAAATTAAAATGCCTCTTTTTAGAAAAAAAAAGATCATTTTTGAATCATAAATTAAAAAACTTCCGAGCACGTCTTTTTCAAACGAAACGTAAGTTTGGCAAATTAGTAGCGTTCATCTATTTTGCAGAAACTTTCACTCATCCCTTTTTACCAATTTTTCAATTTCGTTAAAATCAACTTTTCCCCACCGACAAGGTATGTATTTATTTATCTATTCGGCTCTCACTAATAAAACTGTACACACTTATCTATAATTTAGTAACATCTTTTATCTCGTTTTCTTTATCAGTTGTAGATAATGACGAGGCCTTAACGAATAATGATGAAAAAAGAACATCAATGAGATGATCATACAGAATAATAGTTAGAGAAGAAAATAAGCCGGATGCGTAAAAGTTGGAAAGGAATGAATAGATTATGTCTTTTCCGAGGAAAGAGAGAAAAAAAAGCATAATATAATTGCCTAAAAACACAAAGAACAAGATTTACGGAAGAAGATAAACAGAAGGGAGATAACGCGTACCAGATAAAATAGAGATGATTGGGGGAAGGAAAAAAGACAGAAGAAACAATAAAGAAAGTGTTGCCTGTATCGGACTATATACTTAGAATAAGCACACAGATGCGAATTGTTACACGTAAAGACACACTCACTCAAAGACATTTTTATTTTTTCTTTCTGCACACTTCCATCTGAATCCCTTTCGAACGAAAGATTTTTCTACATAGAGCAACCAAACAAATAAAAATTTAATATCACATATTTTCGTTTCTTTAGTTACCTACCCTTTTCATTAGCATCCCGATCGGTTGGGGCTTCAGAATACGCCGATTGCACCTCTTCAGAGGGGTAAGACCCTCCCCCCGCCAAAAAACAAATGAGGCTTCCTAGGTAAGACGATAAACTATGTCAAACAGCAAGACCTTTGATCAGGAGGTTTTGAGGAGCGAGAAACCACCTCTTAATTGCTGATGTTCCCGGTCCACCCACCTGGGGTGGTAGCACATCTGAGCAAATAGTTGATCCCAGACTGTGACCAAACCACTATGAAAGTGTAAAAATAGATTTTAATATCATCAATACATTTTTGTAAAATAATTAATAACAGTAATGAAATTTTGAAGAAAAAATATTACCAGCAATACATTTTTGAAGGAGAAAATATTAGCAGCAATACATTTTTGAGGAAAGAAAAACATGATAGCAGCAATATATTTTTGGAAAAATATATTAGCAGCAATAAAAATTTTGTTGGCATTAAATAACCATTGAGTTTAATATGCCGTAAAACAAAATAAATCAAATACAACCAGGCCTCACTAGATTTTACCGATTGGACAACCTAAAAGAGCAACATAAAATAATATTTAAGCCTCTGATCGGGAGATGGGATGTTTGAGGATCCAGGAAGAACCTCTTAATTGCTCTTGTTCCTAGATCCACCCTGTTAGGGTTTCAAATATGGGCAAAAAGTTAACTCCCAAACAAAATCAGTACATTTTTATAATAAAATCAGAAATAATATATTTTTATTTTAAATATCAATCAATGCAAAACTAAAAAAAATATAATAATACATTTTTATTGTAAAATTGCCAGCAACACATATTATGGTCTACAAACTATATATATATATATATATATATATATATATATATATATATATATATATATATATATATATAAAATAACATAACAAAGTATAAAATTATGGTGTAATTTGCAGTGTAATCCCCACGCTCAGTCTGTAATAAAAATTCCCTGAATAGATTACATTTAGGTGTAAACCTATATGCTTCATTCGAAAATAACAAAGGTATTTTGCTAAAATCTACCGTTTTGGAGTTATCAACAATATAAGTTCCGATTCATTCGCGTCAGCCATTATTGGCGTTGTTTACATACGTTCGAGGAAGCTTACTTAGTTAACGGTCTTTTTACTGATCCTACTCGTCTCAATTACTGCGCAAGGGATAGTGTTAGGGGTAGCGTTAGGGATTTTGGTAAATTTGTTTAAGTTATTTAGAAAACCAATGACAAGTGTTGTTTTTTTTTTATAATGAAACAAATTAAATAATAAAACAAATAATAATTAAATAAATAATAAAACAAATTGTAATGCTAATGAAATCTTATTTTATGGTACGGACCTTAAATTTGTTCTTGGTATCATCATTTCGTTTCTTATTTTTTTTATTTTGTAAATATTCATGCTATTTTTAAATTTCGCGCAAAGTTTACGCATTGTATGCGCATTAATCAAGACAAGTGAAGCTTCCGCAAACGACTATTCCGAGGAAAATTAAAGTAAACAACGCCAATAATGGCAGCCTTGCTGTAGGCGCGACGCGAATGAGTTCGAACTTTTATTGTCGATAACTCCAAAACGGTAGATTTTAGCAAAATTCCTTTGTTATTTTCACCTAAATGAAAGCGCTCGGAAACATTTTTAATAGAAACTAAGCGCAGATATTACACTGCAAATTACTCAAATTATGTACAAAATATATTCACTTGAAGCCATAAAATTACATTCAAATATTTAGATATCGGCATTAAATAACCCATACAGATTGATATGCCACTAAAAAAATCAACAAACTTATCCCACTCACAGTATAGACGAGAGGTTAGAAACATTGCGGTGTGCTTTATAGCTGTGGTAGAATAGTATAGCAGGTGAGGCTGAATGATTAAAATAATATCAAATGTTTAGAAACAGTTTTAAGTAAATCATATCCCAAAAATAAACATGATTTCAAAATTTAAAATGTTATTATGTATTACTTGCAATTGCATGCATGAGTCCCATTATAAATATTTATAAATAATTATTTACCGATTTTATCAATTTTATTTTTGCAGTTTATAAAGTATTAAGAATATAGTAACTAGGCTCCGTAAATTGGAGGAGGGAGTTATCAATGATAATGTTCTGACTACGAATCTACCGTTATTTCCGCCTTTAAACATCTGTCTTCATTATTATTTTTAAATGTACAACATGTCGCATAAAAATTGGTGAGCCGCGAGCAAATTTTATTTCCGAAAATGTGGCCCAGAGAAAAGAAGATTGGGAACGATTGTTATAGAGCCACCAGTCTCCATAATATCATTAGCAAACTTTTAAAAGCTAAAATTACCAAGATGTATGTTGATCACCTCAATCAGAACAACCTCCTGAGCGATAAACGGTACAGATTTCTATCGGTGAAGTGCTCTTCTGATATCCTAAATTACAATATTCACAGAATCAGTAAGACGTGAAACAACAAATACATCTCAAGTGCAATCCGATTAGATATCTCAAAGCCTTTGACAAATTGTGGTATAAAATGATTAAGGCACATAAATGACGGTGGGTAGGCATATGCAACCGCTTTTCATAAAAAAAAAATATTTAATCAAATTTAAAACAATGTCGCATGCATTGTAAATATTCTAAGGAACGTATATTTTAGACAGTGATTAGAAAAGCTTATTATGCTTTCTTCTCATTTTAAAGGAACTAAATGCGGTCCGATCTCCAAGGTTACTGCAATATCGGCGTTTTATGAAGAGCATAAAATTTGCTTCAAGGATATGTGGAACATGCAATCTATTAGCTTCAGGGATTCGTGCCCAATGCATTTTATATTTGAGTTAGAAAGTTTAATCTTGAAACGTCAAGTAAGATCCTTGTGATTTTTATTTATTTTAGACTTTAGAGATACTGAGTGTTGAAATTGGTCGATATTGACAGAATTGGTTAAGTGAAGTTATCACATAGATAGACACAAACGTCTATGGTTAACTACTATCTGTCTATCTATCTAGCTAGCTAACTAGCCCAATATGTACATATCTATCTATCTATCTATCTATCTATCTATCTATCTATCTGCCTATGAGTGTGTGGATAATGATTTTCGGTCCAATCAAGATTAAGTATTAAAACATTTGATGTGTAATGATTTTATCAAATTATAGGTTGTGGATGGTCCAGATGCCTTTTCATATATATATATATATATATATATATATATATATATATATATATATATATATATATATATATATACCTTCATTATGTGCTGTGAGTGTTAAATTCACTAAGCCATATTTTCTCGTTATATGTCCCGGAAATTTCAGCTGCCTCTTGCTCAATTCTAAGAAGAAGTGTTCTTTTTGTTTCCATTTTCCTTACGATTTTGTCGTTGGTATATATTCTCTGCCCATATTATTCTCATTCTATAGAACCATATGACCTCGTATCTCTCCGTCATCTCGTTGGAATTCACCGCCATATATGACGATGGGTATTACATCGGAATTCAGGACCTTTTCCCTTCGTCTCTAAGTAAATTTTGAATAAACGAGTTATACTAAAAATCTTCACATTTGGCATTCCTCTTCAAAACTTTTTTTTTTTTTAAATTTACTTTAGTGAATTTCTGTAATATAAGCACAAAACTAACCTGACCATAGGCCTCGAGAAGGACCTCCAAACTTTGGTCGACGAGGGCAGGAATTGGCTTGTAAATTTTAATGCCTCTAAAACGAAACTACTTTCAGTTACCCACCATAGAGAACCCTCCCTGCCTTACATCAGGATGGCTGATGCCAAACTCTCCGAGACCGCCTCTCTGTCCTTGTTTGGCCTTACGCTGTCCACTGACCTGAAGTGTAACAACTACAATCTGTAGCTTCATCTACCGTTCTCTGCGTTAGAAGGTTTTTCTCGCCTGAATCCATCTTTCAAATCTACAAATCAACCATTCACCCTTGCATGGAATATTGCTGCCATATATGGTCTGGTGCTTCCGCTGTTCATCTTGAGGTCCTAGACAAAATCCAGAAACGGAAATGCAACGTGGTTGGTCCTGATCTGTCATCCCGTTTGAAGTCGCTATGTCACAGACGTGCTGTGGCTTCCCTCTGTCTTTTCTATAAGTACTTTCATGGCAACTGCTCTGACGATCTACTTTCAAGGTTTCTAAACTGCACGAATTTAAGCGTGCTACTACGTTGGCATCTCGGTCCCACACTTTCACTGTGGAAACGATTAAATGTAGTCATCTCTTCTACTGCAACAGCTTCTTGTTCCGCACGTCCCTCAGTGGAACTTCATTCCTGATAGCTATAATTTTCAAATATTCAAATCTAATGTCAATCGACATTTTCTGATGCGTTGACATTGATCCATGTCCTTCTCTTTATCCTTTTTTCCAAACACTCCTCTTTATTTTTACTTCCACTCTCTGTAAACCCTTGCGTGCTAGTAGCACTCCCGCCTTGCCTAGGGCGATTTGCTTAAAAAAACAAAAAACATGCACACACACACATGTAACTTTTTTAAAAACTGATTGCCACTGAATAAATGTCAGCAGTTACACACTTAGTTTCTGAGCGGGACAAAAATGCGTCCCTTGTACTCTCTGATCACACACCCCTGAAGATTAGATCCAGCATACATCTATCAGAAAATTAGTAAATGTATACGTTTCATTATTTCTTCTACGTATTAAATGCGAAAATGTATTCACATTTGGAACTTCTTGAGCCAATATGCATTTATATATTAAATTTAAGAAAGGTACTAATGTATTTATTTAATGTTTTACAGATTCATAAATAACCAATATTTATAATAAAAAGAGCGCAAGTTAAGAAAGTTAAGAAAAGTCAAAGTTTGACAATGTTAAACAACTTTTCAGCAGAATGAATGTCTTCTTTAAGTGATATTTTTTAAAATTTCAATATATAAATCTCAAAGAATATATTGTACATCTTTGTACAAACATTGCTTGTCTTGTAATGAAAAAGACGGTTGTACTGGTAATGAATGCGTCAAAACGGATGAAAACCCGCCAACATGAATGGATGCAACTGAAACGTGCTCAATATGATGGTGATCTTGTTCATTATGTCCAATGAAAATTCCAAGATGACCATGATCCCTATTAAGCACGTTTCAGTTGCATGCCTTTAAGCTGACGCCGTTTCATTCGTTTTGATGCGTTCGTTACGAGTACAGCCGTATTTTTCTTCATTGCAAGATAAGCAACATTTGTACAAAGACTTATAACATTTTTTTGTAGATTTATATATTTTTATACTTGAAAAATCATTTTAAAATGAAGACACACATTCTGTTGAAATATTGTTTAACATTGACAAACACTGTGTTTTTTCATTTCTTTTTTCCTGTCTTAACTATTGCAAAATATTGGAAGATTTGCATCAATAATAATAATAATAATAATAATAATAATAATAACAATAATAATAATAATAATAATAATAAAACCACAATAGTACTAGTCATAGTAGGTGCGCTTTGAATTATGTAAAAGGAACACAACAACACATTAAAAAAATCTATGGAAATCCCGGCTTAAGAAAAATACAAAATATCGTTTTGCGACGTGCAGCTCACACACTAAGAAGAACTTTAGCCATGTAACGTTAGTGATGTTATGCAAGTTAGAAAAGCAGATCATGAAATGTAGCCTTAACAACACACCACTACCTGCCTTAGCTCTTTTCGCAGATTTGGTAGGTAGAATAACCATGGCAGAAATGGAAATTTAATAATAATAATAATAATAATAATAATAATCATACTAATACTATTATTATCATTATTATTATTAATACTAATACAAATAATAATAATAATAATAATAATAATAATATCATCCCGAATTCACCAAACTTTCAATCTTTAAAACGCATGAAGGTAATTACATATGCAAACTAATAATATCTCACACCCGGGGTAATGAACAAAATGACAAGAGAGTTCCATAAGATTTATACAAAACTATTTGATTAATTACTATTACTAATTAATCTAATAACGGAAAAAAAAAAACATGATTCCCATCATGTTACGCATGCTCAGTTGCATTCCATTCACGCTGGATGAGTTTCAAGCGCTTTGCCGCGTTGATTACCAGTGCAACTGTTTTTCTCAAGGCATTTGTACAAAGACGTACTTTTTTTATATAATTTGTGTACTTGTATACAATGTTTAAACATAACTTGAAGTCAGACACAATGTCAAAATATTGTTAAAGATGGTTAAATACAGCCTTTTCTTTTTTTTTAAACGGGGCTCTTCTCTAAGTGATGTAATAATTAAAATAATAATAATAATAATAATAATAATAATAATAATAATAATAATAATTAGGCAGCATTATTTTGATTAAACACTTTACTTAAAACTATTACTTTACTACTTATGTAAATGTAAAAATCGTCCTAGTTCCCAATACTATGAATGACCTGTGACCTTTATTTGCTGTTTCTTTAAATAATACACTAACTATTGTTTGGGTCAAGTCGCAATAATTTTAAGTAAAATGATGCAATAAAATAAGTAGCCAAGTAATCGTTTTCATTTCTCTGAATATCAGTACTTAATAATAATAATAATATTAATAATAACAATAATAATAAAATTAATACTAATAAATCTAATATGTTCGACGGCAATCTAAGAAAAAACTTTTTTCATTTCAGCTATGATCTTTGGGTAACAGCAAATCACGGAAATTGGAAAATGTAATAACGAATACAACAACAGTAACAACAGTAGCAACAACAATCACAGCAACAACAACAACCACAATAATAATAATAATAATAATAATAATAATAATAATAATAATAATAAATGAATGGAGAGAGTCAGCAGACACATTTGCTTAGAATTCGAAAGAGAGGAAGCTCTGGAGAGCAATAATCGCCCACGTCTCGAAGGGACAGGGCACAAGAAAGAAAATGATCGGGTTTTTACAAAAAAAAAAAACAACAAAAAATGACAGCTCACAAAATAAAACAAACATGAATTAGTATCGGGTGGTGTCGTGTCCGACGATATCCTTAGTAATTTAGAATGATTAAAAACCATTAAGCATCTCCTGGGAAATAGACATACTTGATCTCTAACGGAATGTGTTAAACACACTTGCGGTGAAAGAAAATATATGCGCCATTCTGGTTTAATCTTCATTATATTTTCCACCATTTAATTTCACTAGATTTTACCTGTGAAAATTTCATGGGTTTCCTAATTGCCTGATGAATCTTAATTCTTTAGTTAATGAGTGAATACGCTCTTTGCGAGTTCTATCACAATAAAAATATCCGCAGAAATCGCATAGTCCATGTAAGTTAAGTAGGCATGTAAGTGTTCAGTTCGAAAGTTCAGTTCACATGCCCGGCGAAAGGGTTAAAAAGTTGCTGGTTAAGTTCAATGATGAACCTTCCGTAGTATTTTAACCGAAGGGTACGGAGTAAGTTGTTTGAGTCTAGACGATAGGCATGGAGAAATTTCCCAAACCAGGAGAATTAGGTTGACGGGGAAACCGGAAGCAGGGACTTAATGTAGCCGGAATTTCAGGGCTGTTGTAAGCATGTCCATTAACGCCGATCAACCCGGTGAGTTGCCGTAAGTAGGGACTAATGCGTCGCCGGAAGTTATAAAGGCTAGGAATGCCGGAAGTAAGAGTCTGTGGTAGCCAGAAATAATAAAGGACAATAGAGGCGGAAGTAAGAATGAATAGGAAAGCGCAACTAGCACCCAGTCGGCAGAATAAAAATAAATGGGCACGTAACTCAATACATAAGCCGTCCAGGTTTTCTGGTCACAAAGACCAGGGTGCCTGCATTTCGCCACCTACTCGTCCTCCTTCCGTTCAGAGAGAAGTCGCCGTGTTATATGATATAGGAATGTAATAACATTAAATGGACCTGCAAATACCTAAAACCTCAAGAACATAAATTCAGAGTTGCATAAAGTATATAAAAAGTATGGAAATGTTCACAAAGAGTATTTAGACAGAATTGGTAATACTGAAATAACTAAAAAGATATTAGGTTTTTTATAAATCTAAATGAACTTGCTATATGAAATAGAAGGGAGTGAAGCCATGCAATGAAGAAAAGTTCAACATCGTGAAGATATATAACATTTGCCTTTGATCACATGGACGGAGTAGCGAAGGGCTATGGTACTACTTTATATATATATATTTATATATATATATATATATATATATATATATATATATATATATATATATATATATGTATGTATGTATGTATGTATGTATAAATTCTAGTACAGTCTTGAGCATTTTGTGCGTGCATAATTTTATTTTATATTTAAACTCTGTCCAATATCAGCATCTTACATGAAGTAGATGGCAATAATTAGTCATAGACAGAACATTATTCTAAACTTCCTGGAGGCTCGAAAACAAATATAAACATAGATACGATTATAAAGCATTTTAGGAATGATCACATATTGGGATGCTCTTTAGAATGTATATGCTACCATTTCATATGTGTATTGGCTGACAAAGATACATGGTAACTGTAAATATAGAAATATCTATCTAGCTATTGGAAATGAGAATACACTGAATACATAAAAATATTCAAAATGTGGAGTTAATTAATTCAACAATGTATAGATCAATTATAACAGATTTAGTATATAAGAAAGCACTGACTATGTAGCAGATTGCGTTAGGCGTATTTTATCCGAATGTTAACCTAAAAATGAGTCATGTACTTAATTAGCCGAGTCCGATCTAGCCTTTAATATGAATATAGTGCTTAGCGTTTAACTCGTTTAGAAATGAGCTTTTAGATATTTCTAATAACCATTGTCTCAAATCAAAGATTTAAAATGCCTTCAAAAATCATTTAGGCCGTAAAGACGATTTTTCATCAAACTCTATAGCCTGGCGCTACAGAATCACAAGAGCTTTGTCAAATAACAAAATCACGTTGGCACTTCCAAAAGCAATGACAAAAAAATGGTAGTACATGTTACCAGAAGATAAAATGCTGATATGCGTAAACACTAAATGTCTACACTACCATAAACTAATAGTTTGGTAAGCAACTATCATAAGTATAAGAACGAGATAACAGTTTCTGAAATCTTGGAAATTTGTTTTAAAAAAATAGAAATATATTTTATAAATAACAATCTACAGTGACGCGAAGTGTTAGGCTAAAAATTGTAAATATTTTATCTATGGAAAAATGTTATTATTTTCACTACTTTTCTGTCTATCTCAGTTTCTTCATATCTATCTATCTATTTATCTATCTATCTGTCAAGTCTTACATTTCATATGAATAACTATAGTTCAATCCTTCAACATTTAAAAGAAATTTCATATCCACATTCACGATTTAGAGAAATATTAATCAACAATACAAGTATGCTTCACCATGAAAATAAAAAAAATTCTCGAAACCCTTTATATAAAAAAGATATGTGTAAAATAGATAAAATCAATTATGAGTATAGCAACAAATATCTAAAATGTTTGTAACAGTAATGTTTTAAAAAACCTGAAATTTAATTGTTAAAATGTACAATTAAGTTCAATATTTTAAAACACGTAATTACAATTTTCAATAAGAATTTACATAAATTAAATTACCTCCCTTACATAGAGGTAAATTTTTAGAATTCATGTCCACGCATTTGTTATAACTCACATTCAATTAATGTGAGTTATAAAAAAATTAAATTCACACATGAAAATGATCTTGGATGAGACTGACAGTACTTGGTGAAATAAGAAATGTAAATACAGCTACGTCGTCTTTCTCCATCAATGCTATATCGACACCAAGATATTCTTACGTGAATGTGATAGGATTAAAATAAAAATAGACATGTCTATGTTGTTCAGTCACACACACGCACACGCATATATATATATATATATATATATATATATATATATATATATACACGATAGTATAAGAAACAAACATGAAAAGTACATAAGTCTAACATATTTCGCTTTTAATAAAGTTTCATCAGAGAATGAAATATAAAGGAGATAAAATTCTATTTTGAATTTTTGTGTGTTTTGTTTTTTATTGGTTAAGCAGAGCTCACCTGCATCTGTCTTGTCAAGCAGCGCTAGCATATAATTCGTGTGTGTATGTGAATCATAATTCTAGTTTGTTCATGAGGGATACGGATGATAATGCATGCCCGTTCTTTTGTTCGTGTGTGTGCCTATGTGTATACATGCGTATCATTTTTAAAGAAAACATTCTATTTTTATTTTTTTAAATTTTTAATTTAAAAGAATATACTTTTTCAAATTTTTAATAATTTTTGTTGTTTGTTTTTATTGTTTCCAGTTTTTGAGCGCATAACCTGGTGTGATCAATAGTTGAACAATCTCACATACAAAACATGACTAAAGTCAATATATGTTTTCAATGGTATTTTTCATGGTTTGTTTTTTATACTGGAATTTTTTCCAAGACTTATATTATTAAGAAGTTACCGTAACCGAAACAAATTTGGCGTATGCTCAAGTGTAATAACAAGCTATTTAAAGACACAGTTAGCAAATCTTTGGTGAGACACGTCGTTTTTATTGTATGTACAGCATGAGAAATAGATGGAAGCTCCTATATCGAAACAGAGCAGCTTTTTCTCGCTTAAAAACCAAGTTTCAGTGGAGAAATATATTCTTAAATATGACTCTCGTGAAAAAGAGTTGTGAAATTATCGCCAAAAACCTATTAATTTCTTCGAACAAAAAAGCTTATTTAATGCTCGTTTCGTTTCATTCTTTTTTATATTCTTTTTTCATCACTTATTCCACCTTTCTTTTTTTCTTTTTCGTTCCTTTCTTTTTCTATTTATTTCTTCCATTTTAGTTTTTATCTCTGTCTTTTTTCTTTTCGTTTTTCTTTTTGTTTCTTTAGTTTTATTTTTGTTTCTTCCTTTTTCTTTTCTTTTAACCTTTTCGTTCTTTTCTTTTTCTATTTGTTTCTTCCATTTCAGTTTTTATCTGTTTCTTTTCTTTTTATCTTTGTTTCTTTCAATGTATTTATGTTTCTTTTATTTTTCTTTTCTTTTATCTTCTTCCTTTCTTACATTTGTTTCTTTTTCTATCATTCTTTCTTTCTTTATCCCTTTCTGTCTTTCTTTCTGTCTTTCTGTCTTTCTTTTATTTTTCCTTCCATTCCTATACTTTCCTGATTATTCTATTCATCTTTCGATTATTGTTATACTTTTAAACTATATTTTCATTGATTGTTCGGACATTGTATATTTTTTAGATATACACCGATATTTATTTTTAATATGAACAAGATCAACTGACATTATTTGACCATCAAATTGTTTCATTTACAACCAGTAATGAATTTTATCTTTTTTTCGTCTTGATAATTTTTTTTATAATGGAGTCGCTGGATTTTTCCCGTCACTCTAACCCTGAATATATTTGTAATAAACAGTCATATATACGTGCCATCCACTGAAAAGCAAAATAGCAATAACTTTAAAGTAATTCTAAAATACACGGCATAAGGAGTTCAATCCAAATATACAAACACATTAGCTCCTGTTGAAGTTCTTATGTCATTACGGTACGTATATCACCGAACCCTAAGCAACGTCAAACGTTGTCAGTACCTAGATGGGTTACCTCTTGGAAATACCAGCTTGGATGAGCGGGTGGTGTAATGGATAATAGCACAGAATCGTTAATCGGAGAGTCGAGTTCCAATTCCAGTTGGATTCGTTACATTCATTTACGCGCAAATACTCTTGGGAAAGGTATGAAACTACATCTTCTATGGGTTAATCAGTAAGAATGTATCAGTAAATCCTTATTATTTCGAAAAAATTCTTACAATCTAAAAATATTTTCTGGCTTTAAATAACCTATGAACGGTTGATAAACCGTAAAATAAATAAATCTGTCGTTCGTTGTATATATACAGTCAGAACGTTCGTTTTCCAAAAATGAGACCCAGGTTCGAATCTCACCATGGTCGATTTATTACAATGGTGACTGCCTGATCCTGGGAAGGAGATCACAGCTTGCGGCAACTTTGAAAAGAGCCTGAAAGCCATACCACAGATTGACCCAAGCCTTAAGATTAAAACTGGGTAAATTATTTCGAAGCTGTCGATGTATGTGACAGCATAAAGTTACAAGTCATTTTGACCCAGTGTTTGAGAGTACTGGCCTTGTTGATCACGCCAGATAATGCGCTCTCTCCCAGACACTGTAACTAAGGTCCGCTCAGAATAGTGTCAGTATAAACCACAGTTGGGCTTTTGGATCCCCAAACGAGCCAGCTCAGCCAGGAAACAACGTCGTAACAATACAGCTGTGAAGATTTTAGGTACTGTAAAGACAATGTATCTTCTTAGTATTTTCACTAAAGATTTTTGTATGGGTGACAAGTGTTTGAACTGGTTTCGCTAATTCAAATTCTTTTGTTGTTAACCACAGCGTTAGTTCTCTTTTCCGACGTATATATGCAAATTATGTTATTCTGAGCGACATTTTCAATTCCTAAAGTCTCATCTCGTAACTCCGGGATTTTTTTTTAAAAAAAGCTTCCCATCCAAATTTAAAATTGACGTTATCAATAAACCATGAGATTTAATGTAGTCCTTTTTTTTCTCACAACCACTCCTCTGCCTCGCCTACAGTCGATCAGCTGTTTGCCTGCAGTTAAAATGAATGTAATTAGATTCAAGATTTTCTCAAGAGAGGTTTAATTTACCCAAAGCTTTTACGGAAACATACTAATGTTCTCATGGAGAGAGATTCAGCTGGACAGAATATCAATATTAAGATATGGAGGGAAAGGAATTTCTTTCTTTCAAGCTGAATAGTCCTTTATTCCCAGTAAGGCTTCTCTGATTGTTTGATTTTTTCCCAGATATCAATGAAGTTCTTTCGCTTTACGTAAATGTGTTTTCTATCTTTCCTTCACGAACGATATTTTCTTCTTTTTTTTCTAAATTACTTTCGAATATTTTAAGTTTTCATTTTTAGACATTGTTTTACGTTTCAAGGCAGTTCCGTCTTTCATCTAAACCCGATTTAATTGTGATATATATATATATTTGGGGGGGGGTAAATATATGCTTGCCTTTCATTTTTCTTGGGTATTTCCTATTTTAGCTTTCAAAATATCTACTAAACTTTTAATTTCGATATAAATACCGTTCTTTCTTTCCATTACTTTTCTTTTATATTTCTTCTTCTCTTCTTTGTATATTTTTCTTTCATTCTTCTTTCTCTTCTCAGATGTCTCTTTCTTTCTGTCTTTTTTATTTTTCTTTCATTCTTTCTTCTTAAGCATTCTTTAATTTTCTTTAACTTTCCTTTCTGTATTAATCTTTCTATTTCATTACTTACATTTTTCGTTTTTTCTTTTCTTTCTCTTTCTTTGATTCTTTCCATCACTATCTTTCTTTCTCTCATTTATATTTCTGTGATTTTCTTCTTTTATTTTCCTCTCATTTCTCTTTCTTTCTTTCTATATCTCTATTACTTTTTCTTTTAATTTTTCTTCTCTTTGTATTTTCTTTCAATCTTCTTTTCCTTCACAGATGTCTCTTTCTTTATTTTTTTAGTTTTCTTTCATTTATTCTCTCTCCCTGAGTTTTATTAAATATTCTCTTTAGTTTTCATGCCTTTATTTCTATTTCTATTTCATTTCTTTAATCTTCTTAATCGTCTTTCTTTGCTTTTTCTTTCCCTTCTCTTTTTAATTTTTCTCATCTCTCTTTCTTTCTCGCTTTCATTTATATTTTTTGATTTCTTTTTTATTTCTCCCTCTCATATCATTTTCTTTCTTTCTTTCTTTCTTTCTTTCTTTCTTTCTTTCTTTCTTTCTTTCTTTCTTTCTTTCTTCTGCTTTTCTATAATTTCTCTTGCATTATGCCTTAAACCATTGCATTTTCCCCTCCATTCCTATCATTAATGTCTTCCATACTATCAATTGTTCGAATTGTTTTTCTTTCTTTACTGCTCCGCTCGGGACGTTCCCCATCCTTGATCCTAAATCTAGTTACATCTGCTCAGAAATTAATCCTCTAGGCAAAATATTAAAACGAGAAAAATAAACCAAGCCAATCCCAAATCCTAACAAAATGATGCAGAGCAAAAATATCTTACTGAGCATGTTATTTTATTATGGGAAACTCGGCAGATGTTCAACTATAGTCACAATTTACTTGAGCTTTTGCGTACTTAGATTTTCAGATCAACTAAATCACAATATACTTTTTACTGCCACGGAATGCATAAGTTCAGAAAATAATTATATAATGTGAAAATAGTAAGTTTGGAGGTATTCATTTCTTATTTTGTGATGCGGCACAAAGCCGGATTTAATGTGGTGTATCCGAGCCCATAGGCTTGGCCAGAAATTCCCCGTTGACCCCGTATAAAACGAGACTATACCCTTCGGCATAGCCTCGTTTGGGGATCCTCTCTGCCCGGAGGCAGAGAGTTTGACCAGCACAGCTGGAGACGAATCTCCGACTGAAGACCAACATACAGTATTTACTACTGTATTTATGTTTATGGGGACATTCCCATTATCGTCCGTATGTATGCTACAAAACTATTAATAACTGAGATTTTATTTCTCAATATATGTTGTAACCTACAATATAGAGCAAATGTATTTTTTAATAAGTTTTTTTTTGTGTCCTTACAAATTTTCTTTTGGCCAGAGCAGTTTCGGATAATTCATTAGCTATTATCTTCTTTTTCTTAACTTTCGTGATGGAGAGTGTTAGGATATGTGTGTTGGTATCTATACTGTTTTGTATGAGAGTAGTACTAAATTCATTCTTTGGGGAGTTTTTGTTCAGTTTCAAAACACAGCCAAGATGCCTTGACTACGCTTTAAAAGGGCTATTCAGGCTGAGTGTGGTGCTTTTTAATTAGAAGTTCACATATTTTCAAGCGTTTGTCTGTACAACTGGATATATGGCAATATAAACAACGTGGAAGTTTCTCATTGTGGAGGGAAGTTGGGCGCAAGTGCTTAAGTTCTTGTTTTTATTCCACTAATATTGCATATATATATATATATATATATATATATATATATATATATATATATATATGATATCAATTGATAATTGGTAGGGATAATTCCAACGAGGATATTAATCCAAAGAGAGTTCAATATAACCAACAGAGCAAAATAATAATAAGTAATGATCCTTAAAAATCCATTCGGTTATAATTTAGTTCATGAATGTACGAATATTCATCACTTCAGACCGAAGTTTTTTTAATAAATGGAAGCAATTTGTCCAGTCAACAGGAAAAGGGAGGGGAAAAAAGCTAAAAAAGAAAAGGAAAAAAAAAAACTATTGAAAGAGGAAGAAAGAAAAATAACAATTTCAGTATATGGTTTTAAAAAAATTGGGGGGAAGAGACAGAAAGAGAGAGAGGGAAGAGACAAGAGAGAGAGAAGAATTAAACATGAGCCGATAGGGTAATTTAAGGGTTGAACAAGTTAATATACATGGTAAGAGATGTTTGGATAGAGCAGTGTGTTATCTTAAGAAGCATTGCATCAGGAATGCGGAGATTGTAAAAATGTTGTTTGCAACTCCCAGCGGATATCCCTATGCATACATTTTTTCTATATATATATATATATATATATATATATATATATATATATATATATATATATATATATATATACACAAACACACACATATATATATATATATATATATATAAAAAGTCAAATGTAATGTCAATCGACATCTCCAGTTACCGTGATCTATCCACTATCCCTCTCATCATACTTTCTTCTATCACTCCTATCTGCTCTTGCTCCAAATCTTCTGCAACCCCCTGAATCCTAGTGGCCTCACGCTTTGCTCGAGGGGCGTAATGCTTATATATATATATATATATATATATATGCGTGTGAATAAATTGACATCGTATAAATTTATCACAGCAAGTCTAGAAATGTTATTTAATAATCTGAATTCGTACAAAAAAGTTACGTTGAAAAAAATAAAAGTTGTTTCATTTTCCCCAACGTTAATTATGTGAAAAAATTAAGCTAAATAACCTTTCTAAATTTGAGTTGATAAAGTTATTCAAGGAACAAAACACATTGGCATGAAGGTTTTCATATATGTATGTATGTATATATATATACACACACATATATACACACACACATATATATATATATATATATATATATATATAATATATATATATATATATGGCCTGAAGACAGAGTTTAAGCATAAAACAGACTGTCACTCATAGATGTTGAAGTTAATATTCAGTTTTGCATTTGCATACTTTCTATCTCTGACATTGAGCCATTTAACCCATAATTATAGCATAACTTAAAACTATATTTTTAATATATATATATATATATATATAAATGTAAATGTAGGGGGAAGAGAGAGAGAGAGAGAGAGAGAGAGAGAGACTCAACCAACCATTAATACCCTACAAAATAAAAAATAATTTTATCATTTAAGCACTAGTTTATTAATAACAAAGCACAGACATAAGTATACATATTCCTGTGTACGTGTGTTTGTATGTGTATATATCTATATACGTACATGCATGTATGTGTGTGTGCATGTACAAGCTTATGAATACAGGCATGTACGCATAAATTGAAACAATAATAAATACAAATTTAATTATAAATGTAACCATCTACAGTTAGTACGTTAAATACTTAAGATGCCACCAAACCAAATAAGAAAACAAAATAAGAGCCAAGTGAAAAAATATTAAATTATTTATCATTTAAGCATTAATATCAATTGTTTATGTAGAAAAAAGCGAAATACCATTTTCCTAATTCAAGAAAACACTAGAACCCACAAAAATTAAAAACTTTAAGATGTCTAGGAAAATAAAACGGAAATAAATAGTAAACAAGCTAGGTATACAGGAGGACCTTAGTTATTCTGTTCCACTCAACCTTGTAACATGACCAGCCCAGCGAAGTTATGACTGCACCAGGAAAGTCTCAGTTCTACCAATGTTGCATACCATTTAAGTACTAGTTTACTGATAACAAAGCACAGACACAAAAATGCACGTGCTTGTGTACGCGGGTTTGTATGTGTATATATGTGCACGTGTGTATATTTATATACGTATATGTATACATCTGTGTATATGCGTGTGCGTAAACGTACGAATACATGCACATGCACACAAATTCAAACAGTAATAAATAAAAAATTTAATTATAAACGTAACTTCTTTAAGAATATCATAATAGTACTTAAGATACCACCAAACTAGATAAGAAAACGAAATAATATCACATATATAAATATTTACTTTACCATCTAAGCATTAAAATTAATTATTTATGAAAATAACGAAAATCAATTTTCTTAACTCAAGAAAAGACTAGAACGCACAAAAATTAAAAACGTTAAGATGTCTAGGGAAAAAAAATGAAATTAATAGCATAACCGGAAATAAATAGCAAACAAGCTAGGTATACAGTCTAGGAAAAAACGGAAATAAATAGTAAACAATACAGTAAAAAGCTTGCACCAATGATCAGTTAGTTATGTTCTGTACGTAATACACGCTTAGGTGATTAGTCATTTTGGATACATGACTGACGAGGCAGATTTTTCCCGAAGTAGTTTGTCATTTCTTTCTGCGGTAGACCAGTTGCAATACAAGGCTATAGAACTCAGTCTGTTAGCTGGGGGAGAAAAAGAGGATTCATACCTTTCCCGAGGGTATTAGCACATAAGTGAATGTAATGAATTCGACTGGAATTCGAACTTGGTTCTCTGATTCCTCAGTCAGAGCCTCTATCCATTACTCCACTGTGATAAGTACATCAAAAAAGGAAAAAATTGAGAAATATAAGAAGTCAGTTGCTGATGCCCTCTGAAGAGTGGATGGACGGATCTTTCAGCAGGAATATAATTTTAGCTTAGAGTATGTTTAACTATGGCCTGTGAGTCTCAAAGCACATGTTCTTCAAGAACTTAGAACGATTTTCTTTATTAATTTGACACCTTTATCATTACTGAAGGGGTTTATAGTTGTTGGTCCCTACTATACCAACACAAACCATATAAGTCGTAGTAGCTAATTATTTCCATTGGCTTTCCAAAGTCTACCTCGCCATCAGATAATACAAGTGTAATACCATTGTAGGTTTACATTAAAAAAAAATATGTCATAAAATTAAGTTTTACGTATTTCTTCGCTTAACTTCTCTTTATTATGTTTACTTAATTGTAGTAGGTTAGCTCCTTTGAAGTCTTTACCCATTTTTCTTAATATTCTCTACGTTTTATTTATTTATCTTTTTATCTCGGTTTATATTCGCAACCCCGGCTTCAAATAATTTCTTACTGGTCAGCCGACTTGCGTATTAACTGTTAAATGTTTGTCAGATCTCTTTTTTCTGATAAACTTAAAGCGATTTTTTTCTTGTTCTTATCTTTCCAATGTTTTCAATTTCCTTTTTCGAATCTTCGCTAATCTCTGTTCAACTTTTTTGAAGTTTCCAATATTGTGTTCCCATCACTTAATAACTTTCCGCAAATTTGTTTCCATTTTGGCTTTTTCCCACCACGCTTGGCACACTTTATCTGAAATTAACAAATAAACATTAACTATGAATTCTTCTTTTTCTATGTACCGTGCACCTTCAGGACGCGGGCGATCATAGCTCTCCACAATTTCCAGTAGTTTGTAGTTGTTAGTAAATATCTTTTCGCTATCTCTCCTAACCCCAATTCTACCAAGGGTTTACACAAGATCGTTAGGTAAGTTATACGCTAATTTATTCTGTCCTTGTTGTCTTTATATGTCCTTTGAGTATCACATTTCTAAGCCCTTTTTCCTCATTATATTCGCTAGAAATTTCAACGATCTCCTATGTTAAGAATAAGTGTTTTTTGTTTCGATTTTTTCTAAAAC